GAGATGCCAGAGGAAACATCTCCAACTGTTCTCCTCAATACCCATTAACAGATCCATCATCCGTGGATTTATCCAGCCCCGTTTTGAACCTAGCTCTGCTCTCCGCCTCCACCACCTCCTGCGGCAATGAATCCCACAAGTTAACTGCATGTCACTCAAAAATACATCCGTCCACCCATCCTGCAGAAAGACCCTGAAAATACTTCCATGCGTCAGGTACCCAGGTTGTAGCTATATTGGGCTAGAGGCAAAAGGAATCAGGACTCGTGATAGAGGTGATATATTTATTGGACCAACTAGATTTTTGCAAAAAACCAATTTAAAAAAAAAAAATTCTTTAATTGCAAGCTTTCAGGCAAGTGTGAAGAAAGGTGTTGATACCCAAAAGCTTGCAATTAAAGAATTTTTTTTTTTTTGCAAAAATCTAGTGGGTCTAATAAAACATATCAACTCTACCACAAGTCCTGATTCCTGAAAAGAACTGGTGCTCATAGGGCAACCTCCAGCCATGGACCTCAGTGCGAGCTGCAGTTGCTGACCATCTCTGTGTCATCCCTGGTTTACAGGACAGGAGGGTGAGGAACAGAGGGGACATTCACTGAATCATAGGGAAGTCAGGCTGGAAGGGACCTCAAGAGGTCATCTAGTCCGACCCCCTGCCTGATGCCTTGACCAAGGTCACCAAGCTGCAGTCTCTGGGATGGGACCCAGGAGTCCTGCTTCCAGGCTTTTGATTCCCCAGATCAAACTTCTTGTCCGCATTTTATCAAGACTCTCCCCAGTGGTTGCAGAACTACGAACGACTGCCCCATAAAGCCGGCTCCCTCCTCAAGGCTGTTGGACAATCAGCCACCAAAAGCTCCCCTCTTGCCAACATTAGAGAGCACAAATAAAATGGGCTGACTGCGGCACAGAGACAGGGGCCAATGGAGAAGGAGGGAGCAGGACAGCGTCATGCAACTCGCAAGATCCGCGTTTCCGATGCTCGAGTCGGAAAGAAGGATGAGCTGAGTGCGTTGGTGGATGGAGCCCATCCGGGACAGCCACAAGCACTGCACTTGCTAGAGGAAGAAAGTGGATGCAAGCAGCTTCCAACAACCACATCTGCAAGAACTCAGGGGATCTGTGCCACTGAGGACTACAACTAGGAGCCCCCCGTTCCTGCGGGAAGATGCCAGCATTACAGGTTCATAGTTGTTAGGGGCTGGAAGGGGCCCTTACTGATCCCTGGGTCCAGCCCCCTGCACTTGGGCTCCCCAAAGCAACCACTTTGGCTGGACTACTGCTTGCGGAAGCGGGAAGCGCGCGTGTGTATGCGAGTGCATGGGAAGAGCAACCGAGAAAATCAACCACGCAGGCCTCGTCTGCCGGAAGACTTGCCCTTAAATAAACAAAAGAGATTTATTGCCACAAAACTAGCCCAGCAATATTTCCCAACTATAACGCTGGCAGGTTAGTTTATGCTGGAAGATGGTGCAGAATACCATCAGCGGAGGGCAGGCCACGTGAGCCGCAGAGCAAGTCCACAGAGGATACTTACCCTAAGAGAACGTATTTACCATTCCTGTCAGCCTTGTTTTCTCAGCCGTCAGCGCCGGGACATTTCATCATGCTGTACACTTCCTTTCTCTGGTGAAGGACAGGACCCAGTGACAAACCCACAGCCATAAATTGGGGGTGGGGGTAGGGGGGGTGTTATTTATTTATTTTTTACGAGGCGCTATGAAATTCTTACAGTCGCGTTGTAAAATCGGCTGTCGCTTTCCCCAAGAGGCTCTGATGGGATGTTAATAGCCAAAACGCCGATCTACATGCGAGCTGGTCTTAATTATGAATCACGAACAGAGGGGAGAGAGAGAGAGAGAGAGGATTTCAAACTCAAAAACCAGGCAGGAAACCTTGGCTTGGTCGTGATCACTGGAGATGAGCATATTAGGGAGATATGTACTGATCTGGTATCCCCTCCCCTAAAAAAAACCTCTTTGTTTCTGTGCCAAGGAAAGAACACTTTGCAGTCTCCAAATCCTCCAGCACGCATTTCCAAAGGCGCCTCAGCCCTATCCAAGACTCAGCCATGCCTCGAGGTAGGACTCTGTGCACCAGTCAGCTGGGAAGGTGAATAAACCTCTACTGCAATGTGGGCAGATACAGGGCATCCCCAACTAGGAACACTTTGGCTTCCAACATGAAGTCCTCCCAGCGCGGCTAAGTCCCACCAATGCAGTTGTCAGCAACCAGACAGGAGAACAGGATGAGCCGAACTATTTCTACCTGCTGCTTCCAGATCACTAGGAAACTAACCCCGAATACAGTGGCACAAACTGAATTTGCAGCAACTGAAGTTCAAAAAATGAAAGAGATGAAAGATTCTGCTCCATTTCTGTTCCCCTCCCCAGCAAGCTGGTGTCCTCTCTGCTCTCCCCTGCTTCCCCCAAAAGGGCCTAGGGCATGATAGAGCAGCCGGTCATCCAAAAACACAGTGCAGGTGGTGCACTGGGTAAAGCAGAGGTGATTGACTGCCAGACCCTATGGCTGGATCATCTACTCCGATGCCCTGCACAGATGCAAGACGCTCAGTACCATAGTTAGGAACAACGCAGACGACGAGCGCCTCTGCCCAACGCTAACCCAGCAAGGAGCTTTGCCCTGGTGCTGTCAGGCCCCACAGCAGGTGGGGGTGTCGCTGTCTCCATGATCCATTCAACCTCCCCAGCAAGTACGGCACCAGTGTCACCCATCTGCTGGGACCCGCTCAGACCCAGTAATCCCTTTTAGCCACAACAGTCCTTTACTGGGCTTGAACCAGCAGCCTGGAGCTGAAAAGGCTGATTTACCCGTCCTCCAAAGCTGGGCTCCCATCCCAGCAGCATGTTTTGCTGCCTATAAAGAAGCACTTCAGAGCTGGACCTGATATGTTCGCATATAGCGCACAAAGCCAAGGGGAGTAAATGCTGCCTTTTGTCCATGAAAACACCAGGGCAGAAAGGAAGATGACAGATCTGGGTATTCAGGGCTATATATCACTCCGACAACGCGACTGCCAGCAACCCACTACCCTTATCTTCTCAATTTTATTTGTCCAAGTCCTTCCTTCATCCCTTTCCCCACCTCTTTCCACTTCAAAGCTTCTTTCTAGGTTTCCCCTTTGCAGTTTCCCCCTCTGGAGCAGAGTCCAGCTTTACCACGTTGTGGCAGTGAGTACGCCGCGATGCTCTTTCCTTTTATCAGTTTTAAAGTGGGAAGAATACTTAGAAGACCAATTATCCCAGAGCAAGGTTGGGAAACTTCGTTAGCTTGTATTAGCACTTTAAACATGCAAGCGGCAATTTAAGTGATAAATAATAGTATAGAAAGAGAAGTCGAGATTTTTTTTTTAAATGTTATTTTTAATTAACTGCAATTATCTGCCTGACCTGTGAGCAGATTTTTAAATAGCTTGGTTGATTACATATTGCATCCACGCGGCTTGAAATAGTCCTTAAAATTCATGTGCACCATAAAAAACTGCTATTGTTATTGAGTTAACTGTTCGCATGCAAAGGTTGGTGCTTTGAGGAAAAAAATGAAATAAATAAGAAGCAGTTTTTACATTTAACCTGTTTCTCAGCTCTGATTAGCTCCATTAGTCACCTTTGTAATGGCCTTTCTCTTCCCTGCCTCAGTTTCCTTAGCTGTAGGGAAGAGGAGGCGAGATGCTTACATCAAATGGAGACCGAGGGCATTTGCTGCAGCACAGAGCTTGGCAGATGGCTGTGGTGAGGGCCGGCTGCCACAAGCCTGATCCAGGAAGCATTGGAAAGGCCCCCCCGACTTCGACATGAGCTTGAACGGACATGAGCCCGCAAGTGCTAAGCTAAAAGGCTAGTAGCTCCCAATTATCTGGGTGTTTATGGGCCCCCTCAGCATCCACAGTACTGATGGGTACGTCCCCAGCACTCCTACCCCATGAGGCAGTGGAGCCAGCACAGGCTAGGGTGTCCTCCAAGAACCGTTTGGGAGCGGTTTCCATGACCAGTCCCACCTCCCTCCCAGACTCAGGGGGAGGTCGAGGGTTGTCCATCAATGCTAAGGCCGTCCCAGGGTGGGAACCTCCAACACAGGCTTAAAATCTGCAGGGACATCCATGACAACAAGCCACTGAAAACACCTGGTGCCCACCTCAAGAAACCTAATAAAATGTACACATCGATGCATATGTGTGTGTGCATGTGCGCACGCATATATGTGTCTGCATGTGCGCATATGTATATGTGTGTATATGTGTGTGCATGTATGCATGTTTGTACATATAGATGTGTGCACGTGTGCATGTGTGCATGTATGTCTATATATAGATGTGTGCATGTGTCCATATGCATGTATGTGCATGTGTCTGTATATATAGATGTGTGCTCATGTATGTGTGCACGTGTGTATATGAGAGAGAGATGTGTGCACATATGCATATATGTGTGCACGTGTATGCATGTGTGTGTGTGGGTGCATGCGAGTGCATCTGCATGTGTGGGTCCCTCCCGAGGTCCCTCCCAGCCCTAATGTTCTATGATTCTATGGTGTGTGTGTGTGTGTGTGTGTGTGTGTGTGTGTGTGTGTGTGTGCACACACATATTATATATATGCACACACAGCCACGCACAAGAGACAGCGAGTGAGAGAGAGGAATGAACAAGCGTTTTTAAATGCAATGTACCCTAATGCGCCTGAGGAATCCAGCCAAATGAGAGAATATCCAGAGAAGAGAAAAACCTGCGCTGACAGAAGGAATGGGCTCTATCATTCTTACAATAAATAGTTTGTGAGGGCTGCAATTAATTTCCATGCCGTCCGACACTGCATTGGTCAAAACCCAGCCAAGAGGGATGAATTGTACCTCTGCCCTCCCACGGCTGCTCCCCCTTTGCCTGCCAGGAGAGAAGGCCCCCGACAACTGCAAACGAAAAAAAAAAAAAAAAAAAAAAAAAAAAAAAGATATTTTCTTTTTTTGTGCATGGTAGATTTTGCAAATTGCGCGATCAATCTTGTGCTGCGCCGAGCGCTCCTTCACTCCACGCCACCCTCTGTATTTTGGGAGCGACACAATCTGTCTTCTGGGAACCAGGTATATAATTTCTAGTTAGCGAAAGCTCGGAGAAGAAGCCCCTTTTTCATTATGATGATTGAACTGCTTCCAAAGAGAAGAGCGTGGCTGGATCACGAGCCCTCTGCAGAAACCTGAGCTGCTTTTGCTGAGCTTGTCAGCCTCACTGGAGAATTAGTACTTCCAAAGCTCTTACTTTTGATGAAAATCAACATTTATTTTGCCTAAGCCTAAGAAGGTGTCAGGCAGCCACAGAAACTTGCCACTCTTCCAGGGGAAGACAGAGTGAAAGGAAGAAATCTAATAGAAATGTATTATCAAGTCCGAGGAGTGGACATTGCAGTAAATCACGCTTCAGGTGGCACCATTATATTTTTCAATAAAAAAAAAAAAGGCTTGCTTTCAATGCATCCGTTAGGAGCTCGCGGGGGCCTCTCCACCTGCAGCCAAGGGAGGGTGTTAAGCCCGACGCGCTTCAGGCAGATGCCGGCATGTCAAGGGGGCGTGAATGAGATTGAAGCCGAGTCAATTTAGGAACAAAATAGAAGGGAGCGTGGAAGGGGCTGCAGGTCCCACACCTGGTGCTACCCCCCTCCCCCATCTCCGGTGGCCTGGAGCGGTGCTGTCCTATGCCTTCAAACCCCCTCCTGCTAGGACTGATGCCAGACTCTCCAAGAAGCCACCAAGGACTCTGCCACTGTTCTCAGTGTCACATGGAGGCACTCAGATGCTATAACGAAAACCCAAGAGTTGTATTACATTAGATAGAAAAGATGGGATTTCCCCCTCCAGCTGCACTAAAACCAAGGGTAAAAAAAGCTTTTCAGAGCAGCAGGACTTTCCTGTGCCCCAATTCTGGCAGTTGCAAGGTCCCGAACGTGGTGGCCTCCATAGCACAGCCTCCTGCAGTGCAGTCGTCCTCCCTAAGTGCAGCCCTCTTTTTAGAAAGAAGATCCTTACTAGCTACGCAAAATGATCCTCTTAGCAATTCCTTCCTCCCCCACCCTGAATGAAAAGCTGGCTCAAGACACGGTTTTAATCGGCACAGGAGCCAGGTCTCCAGAAGCAAGCCAAACAGCGTCCTAGCAAAGGCAGAATCAAGCTCCCTGCCCCAGGCTCTGCAACAGTTTCCATCCCCAGGCTCTGTTTTCAGTCTCCCCAAACTTTCCAAAACTTCCCAGGCCTCTGTCTTATGTTTTGGGCAGGGAAGAAAAGGGTCTGGGCATCTTTGAGCATGAGAGGAGTGCTCCAAGTGGCACCCAGACACCACTTACCCCCCTCCGCCCCCCTTTTTTTTTTTTCTCTTTTTTTTTTTTTAGGAGCGGAAGGGTGAAATTTGGCATGGACGTCCTCCGTGCTTCCTCAGGCTGAATGAGCTGAGGACAAGGGTGGATCAGAGAAAACTGAAGGCCATTTTAGATAAAGAGGAAGAGAAAAGGGGGGATAAAAAGGAAAGGGATTAAAAGGAACGATTGTGTGAACGCTTTGCAGATAAAAAACTCCAAGGGTTTTTTGATGTCCCATTTCCACTTCATTCCTCTCTCCTTCAGTTTTGCCACTGAAGTTTGGGGCAGAAGGGAAAAGGGACAGAGAGAGATTGAGAGAGAGGAAGAAACCCCAGGGCAGACAGGGAGGGAGTTCATGCCAAATGACATGGCATGGGGGTTGCATCAAAGACCGCAGAAGGTGTCAGGAGCAATTTCACAGGCTATTGTACATCGTTAAGGCATGTAGAGGAGCATAAATCATCACACACAAGCAGGATGGTCTGGCCACCCCGGGCCCGGAGATAATAAATACATGTGCTCCAGTCATTGTGTTCAAGCAGAGCGACTGCTGTCCTTAAAGAGATCATCTCACATTTTAATCTCAGCTGCCTTAAAATCTTGCTCGCACAAACTGCTCCATGGGTTGAAAGTCTCTGCCCCCCAGCTGTCCAGCCAAAAGGCAAATATTTTTTGCTCTGAAAGCCCTAGCTAAACCAAACCCATGGTCCCTGAACTATACAAATGTTTCATGCCCAGAAGAGACAACGAAGTAGAACCAGCAAAAAGCCCTCAATGCTTTATGTGCAACACTTAAATAATCCTGCGTCCTGCCATTAAAACTTCTGCTCCGACTCAATGAAGGGATGCCAGACGCGTCCAACTGGTTTGCTTCAGAGTCCTCACTCATGAAGAAGCAACAGCCACATGCGTGCAGAGACCCTGGCTGCTAATTTTGAAAGTTCAGCACGGTTAAAACTAGGACATTTGTCAGAGTATTTTCTGGTTGCTGTTGTTGGCACCTTTCCCCTACAGCTCTCTGCACAGGACATCTGCAAGGAATGCTTCAGCCACTCCTCCAGGGACCTCCTCTTTTCAATTCTTTTTTTAAAAGCACAGGGAAAGTCAAGCAAAATAAACTCCCTTATCAAGACAATCAGAAGGAGTCAGAAACTCCATGTGGATGATTTTCCTAATGTAACCCTCATTTGCTACACAGCCCACATGTAGTGTCTGCTTTCCCCCATTACTGGACACAGGCAGTGTGTTATTTTGGGGTACAGAACATGCACCCTAAAAGCTACGGGCCGTAAGATGGGACTGAGCTAACGTGAGAGACTCGCGCTCCCGCTTTCCCATAGCTCAACACACAGTGTTCAGACGCTGCTGACGAGGCAGCTGAAACCGTTCGGTGAAGTTGCCTTTTGTTTAAAAATAAAAAAGCCCTCCCTGCCTCTGGCTCTGCTGGACCCCTGGGCCTGCGGCATGCAAGCCAAGACAGGCTGCACATCAGAGCACGGGGGGGACTCGACGCCCCCGTCCCATCCACGGCTTTGCTCCGTGCGACGGTGACGCTGAGGACCGAGGGGGATTCATGGGCAGCGTGGCTGCACCCTGCAAGCCCGGGCTGGGGGGCGGAGGGCCGAGCACCGCGCTCCCGTGGAACCGGCTGAACGCTTCGCAGCCGCTCCCAGCTCCTTGTCAACTCTTTTGCAAACACAGTGGTTTTGGTTTTGCAACTCGGTGACCAGAAATCCTGGCAGATGAGCACCCTGCCTTCTCGCGTGGTTATCCGATGAAACGCATCCCTAGCTGAGCCGGCAGGAGTGATCTGTAACCCTGGGAGGGAGTCTCTCTCCTCCCGCTCCAGCGACATGCAGGGTTGGGATCTGGTTTTAGGCCCTTCGCTTCCCCTGCCCCATTCTCCGATGGCCTGGATGATGCGAGGGACGCGGGTTTTGCTCTGGCTTGCACGAGTGGCACGGAGGAATGCCAATGAGGCGTTTCTTCCCATCAGTCCCCCTACGCTGCAAAACCCAAGATCGGGCATCCTATCAATCTGATGGCAGATGTGCCCCTATCAGGGGGCAACTGCTTGCCCTGGTGATCGAGGAGGGGGTGTCCATCTCCAATTGCTAAATAACTCAGGAGAGGAAGCCACAAGGGAGCAACTCGAATGCGAGCGAATTCCCCGAGTCTCTGAAATGGCTTGGTTGTGAGCCCCTCCATCCACAGGCGTCAAGGCTTTTAAAACCAGGCGGAAGATTAAACCGGGTGGGAGCGAAACTCGCAGGGCTGGCAGACCGGAGGGACTTGGCAGGCCGGGCACTCCTGCTGCAGATCGATAAGGAAAGAAGATTGGAAAACTGCAGACAGGCCCATGCAAAAATAAATAAATCAATCAGGAAGCGGATCTCCAAACGTCTTTCTGCGGGATTAGAAACGATGGCTCCCACTCAGATCGGGAGATGATGAGGAAGGCGCTGACTTCCCAGCACGTCTATGTTACGACCGGGTGTTTTCACGTGAAGGGACCCATCTGGCATCCTTCTCTTCACTGAGGTAGCTCTATGGGAGCGAAGTTGGCTGCCTGAGTACAACAAGGCCCAGGGCTGGACCCTCGGCACCGATGCCTGTAGTACCAGTGCCTGCGATTGAGAGACTGGCAACAGCTGGGGGAAGAAAGCATGGCTGTCCTCGCTCCAGAGATGGGGAACTGAGGCACAGAGATGAAGGGACTTGCCCAAGGTTGCACAGGGAGTCTGTGGGAGAACTAGTTTACCGCAGAGCTGAGTATCAGCCCAGATCCTTCCTATCCACTGCGGCTCTTGCCAGACACGGAGGGAAGCCCCTGCTATAAAAGCCATCTATAACACACACTGCTCAGGGCAGTGATGCCCGTGGTCGCTTGGGGGAGCAGAGGGTAGCACCCCCAAAACACACAAGCTCACCTGCTGACACAGGAATAAAGGCTGCAGTCACTAATGACCTGAACAAATCCAGCGAGCTGAACAGGAAACCAATTAGACTGATACACATTGCCCTGCCATAGGAACGAGCGAGTGCGCGCTACCTGCAGCTCGATAGATTTTGCATTAGAAAAGCAATTATATTAGAGGTTTGTTAATTCAATTATGAAAGGAGTTTTGATGCTTTCTAATTAACTCCTTCCACATGCCTGAGGGCACAGGGGCTGGCCGGGGACCCTGGGGATCCACAGGGCCAGATGTGACATCCAAGGCAGGGGGGTTGGAGTTGGGGTTCATGCCCCGCTGTAAAACAAGGGTACGTCAAGCAGGGGAGGGGGCAGGGGACACATGGGAGCTCCCCACTGCTGCACGGGGTGTGAACGGGGCAAACTTGTTCAACCCAGGAACACTCTGCGATGAGCCCAAGCAAATGACAGGCTGCAAGGCCAGCTGAGCCCCTTGCCTGGCTACAGCAGGGATCCTCGGTGTGGGATTTGCTTGTCACCCCTCCGACCCAAGGACATGCAACGCCAAGGGGGAGGGCTCCTGACCATCTGGGGCAGTAGTTTTAAACTTCAGCCCCCCACCCCTGAAAAATGCCAGCTCTTTGCATTCTCTTGTTTCTTGGCTACAGAAAAATTCTAGAGCAACGCTTGTGTTGCAAAAAAAAACTCAGCAGGGCAGAATGGTTTTGACCCAATGGAGTCCTATTTGAAACCTCTGGGTTGATCTTGTGGATTATGTGCCAGTGTTTGCACACCCCACGATGCTAATACTGCCCAGCACCCTTGAGAGGACGTGGCACCCCAGTTGAGAATCGCTAGCTTAGGGGTGAGAGCTCCAAGAACTAATGACAAGCCGCGTGGCTCTTTGCAGCTCGAGTGCACTCTCTTGAGGGATGGCAACAGGGGCTGCAAACATCTCCATGAGATCCCCAAGTGTTGAGAGAAATTTAACCCCATTTCACAGGTGGGAAAACTGCAGCAGGAGGATCGGCAGCTCACTGAGGATCACAAGAGCCAGCCTGTGACAAGGCTCAGAGGAGGACTTGCACCTCTTCCATGGGTTAAAGCACCTGCCTGCTCTTCCTTTCATCCACCAGGGTAAACCACACATGCCACAGCGGCATCCCGTGTCTGCCCTCCTGCTAGGCAAGGAGCACAGGGGGCAATCCCATTCCCGTGCACCTCGGTGACTAAAATCCCATAAACAGGAGGGTTTTTATTCCTCTTCTCCTTCTCCATTTTATGTCCCTTAGCAGCATCTGCTGCAGCAGATCTCAGCCACGAGAGCCCAAGGGGTACCAGCCTGCTCCACTGCTAACACCTACAACCGCTACCGAAGGCAGATGGCACAAAGGATGCAACAGCCTCGGCATGGAGAGCGAATGCAGTGCTCTGGCAGCGTGCCAGTGGCTCCGGCTGAGAGGCACCCCAGGCTCCTCGTGAACTGCACTCCCACTCCCTTCCTGGGCTGGGTACGTGTGCCTGCCCACG